GGTGCCGGAACAGCCTCCTTGTGTCTTTCAAAAATAATTCAGGGTACCACAGAGCCATTTGTTGACTTTGTGGCCCGAATGCAAGATGCTGCCGATAAGATATTTTCTGATCCGGGAGTGGCTCGACCGCTGGTAAGGCAGCTGATTTTTGAGCAATGTACAAAGGAGTGCAAGGCAGCGATAGCTCCTCATAAGAACAAGGACCTCAACGCCTGGATTAGGATATGCAGAGAGATAGGGGGGCCGCTCTCCAACTCGGGAGTGGCTGCTCTCCTGGCCGCGGCTGTACAGCAGAGGGGACCTCGCGGGTTAGAAGGGGAATGTAAGGCTAAAGGGTGTTTTGCCTGCGGGGAGCCAGGACACATTAAACGTCATTGCCCAAACAATGCAGATGCTAGGCCTCGCCCTAGGAATGAAGAACCATATGTTTGTGGGCGATGCAAGAGGGGATCACACAAAGCTGAGGAGTGTAGGTCGGTCTTTGATGCTCAGGGCAACCGTATTTGTGGACGAGATGCTAGAGGGCCAAAAAACGGCCAGAGGGGGCCCCCTTCACAGGCGGGCCCCCGCCCCAGAGACAGGACAGCTCAGGATGGCAGCCTTCAACAAGGGCCACCCCTGGGTCAGCAGGTGTGGACCTCAGTGTCGCCTCCAGACTTATATTAGTGCCTGATATGGGTGTTCAAGTGGTTGAAACCACCTTTAAGGGACCGTTACCCGAAAATTCCGTGGGTCTGGTGATCGGGAGATCCTCCACGGCCCTTCGGGGTCTCATAGTAGTCCCGGGGGTCATAGACTCAGACTACACAGGACACATTAAAATTATGGTTCAATCTCTTGTGGGTACTATGGTAATCAATAAAGGAGACAAGATAGCGCAGCTCTTGCTGCTCCCCAGTCTCCACAAGAGATTCCCCTCAAAGCAGAAAATTAGAGAAAGTCAAGGTTTCGGTTCCTCAGGGGAAGTCTTCGAGGGACTCCATATAATACTTGATAAAAGGCCCATGCTCTCACTTAAGGTCAATGGCAAGAATATAACAGGGCTCCTAGACACAGGAGCTGACCGTTCCATTATCTCTAGAAAGGATTGGCCCTCCAACTGGCCCACCAACACTGCAGATAACACGCTGCAGGGCCTGGGGATGGTGTCAGCTCCTCAGGTTAGTGCTTCAGCCCTGCTCTGGTGCGATGAGGAGGGTCATCAGGGCCATTTCCAACCATTTGTGTTGCAGTTGCCAGTGTCTCTATGGGGAAGGGACATCCTCACTCAGATGGATGTCACGCTTACGTCAAACTGCTCCCCCCAGGCTAAGGATATACTCAGGAACCAGGGATATACCCCTGGCAAAGGCTTGGGCAATGCCCTACAGGGTCGGACATCCCCAATACCAGTAGAGAACAAAAAAGGTAGGCAAGGGCTGGGTTTTTCTTAGGGGCCGCTGAAGAAGCTCTCCTACCCACTTCGATCAAAATCACCTGGAGGTCAAATGATCCGGTTTGGGTACCTCAGTGGCCCCTGCCTAAGGAGAAGCTATTAGCCTTGTCAGAAATAGTCAGTACACAACTTAGATTAGGACACATTAAGCCGTCAACCTCCCCATGGAACACCCCCATTTTTATAATTAAGAAAATGTCTGGCAAGTGGAGGCTGCTCCATGATCTAAGGGCGGTCAACGCGCAGATGCAGTCCCTGGGGGCGGTCCAGAGGGGGCTGCCAGCTCTCTCAGCCATCCCTCAGTCCTGGCCAGTTTATGTTATAGATCTTAGAGACTGTTTCTTCTCAATCCCCCTGCATCCAGAGGACACTCATAGGTTCGCCTTTACTTTACCCACCATTAACCAAGAAAGCCCTGATCTCAGATACGAGTGGATAACGCTGCCCCAAGGTATGGCCAACAGTCCCACCATGTGTCAGATTTACCTTGATTCCCTACTGGCCCCCCTACGGAAATCCTTTCCCAAGATAAGATGTGTGCATTACATGGACGACCTTTTACTCAGCGGCAGGGACCCAGACATGCTAAATAATATGCTCGGCCAGTTGGTCGAGGCCCTGAGACAAGCTAATCTGCATGTTGCCCCCGACAAGATTCAGGGAGGAGAAATGGTGACCTACTTAGGCGCGAGAATCTCCCCTATGCTAGTCTCTCCACAGAAGGTCACCATTAGGACGGATGGCGTTAGGACCCTAAATGACATGCAAAAGCTATTGGGAGACATTAATTGGATTAGGCCATATTTACATATACCAAATTCAGATCTCAAACCCCTGTTCGACCTTCTGAAGGGAGACCCAGATATAGCCTCCCACAGGAGGCTCACTCCTGAGGCAAGAGCTGCCTTACAGAGAGTGGAAAAAGCCTTAGGTGGGGCTACCTTACACAGAATTGAACCAGGGCGACCCTTTGATGTCTGTTTGCTACAGACTAGTCTACAGCCCACAGCGGTGATTTGGCAGAAAGGACCACTACTGTGGATACACCCTAAGGTCTCACCTGCAAAAGTCATAGAGCATTACCCAGAGGCAGTTGCTTCATTGGCCCTTGAAGCGCATGATAGAGCTGTCCAACATTTTGGCTCAGGACCACAAGCCATCCGAGTACCCTATACCGCCAGCCAGATCAAGACCCTGGCTGCCTGCATAGATACATGGGCCATTCTGAGATGTGTTTTCCATGGGGATATAAACAATCAATACCCTAAAGACCCTATCTTGTCATTTGTCACTCAGCACCCTATAATTTTTCCAAAGGTTACTGCCTCTGAGCCATTAGTCCCAGCAACTACAATATATACAGATGGCTCCAAGACGGGGATAGGCGCCTATGTGATCCTAGGCAAGCCCCCGGTTACCATACAATTTGAACCTGATCAGCCTCAGGTGGTAGAACTGCAGATCGTTAAAATGATTCTTGAACGGTTCTCAGAAGCCATTAATATTGTCTCCGATTCTAGGTATGTGGTCAATGCTATGCAAGTGCTTGAGACTGCCGGTTTAATTAGATCCATTTCCACAGTGGCTGGGCTGTTCCTGTCTATCCAGACATTGCTTCAGAACAGACACCATAAGGTCTTCACCACCCACATAAGAGCACATACATCCCTGCCGGGGCCCATGGCACAGGGGAATGCGGCTGCTGATACTGCCACTCGCCTGTTATGGATTTTTACCTTACTAACACCAATCGAGCGAGCCCGTGCCTTCCATGATAAGTTTCATGTCAATGCCAGGACACTAGCAAACCATTTCCATGTTTCCAGAGCAGATGCACGAGATATCGTGCGACTATGTGACTCCTGTGCCACATACAAACCTGCCATACCGATGGGAGTAAACCCTCGAGGTTTGATCCCTGGTGATGTTTGGCAGATGGACATCACACATATACAGGAGTTTGGGACTCTTAAATATGTTCATGTTTCCACAGACACCTGTTCTCACGTCATATTCGCAACAGCAGAAACAGGTGAAAAAGTGTCTAATGTGATCAATCATTGCCTGGCGGCTTGGGCCGCATGGGGCAAACCAAAAATATTAAAAACTGATAATGGACCAGCCTATATAGGCAAAGCCTTCAATGAGTTCTGCAAAATGATGGAGGTTCAATTAAAACATGGTATCCCATACAATCCCCAAGGTCAAGGAATCATTGAGAGGGCTCATAGAAGCCTCAAAGAAATTTTACAAAAACAAAAAGGGGGAGTAGGCCAAGGCCTGGCCCCAAAGGCACGATTATCCATGGCACTATTCACACACAATTTTTTAAATTTAAATAATGATAATTGCTCCCCAGCCGTGGAGCACTGCAACCCTTCCCCCAACCATAAAGGGTGGGTGAAGTGGAAAGATGTCCTGACAGGACAATGGATGGGCCCGGATCCAGTGGTCAGCTGGAACCGAGGCGCGGTTTGTGTTTTCCCACAGGAATCGGGACGAGAACCACTGTGGGTACCGGAGAGACTGACACGGGCGACAAAGCCCTTGACTGAAGATCAGACCTGCCCTACCGGAGATCCATCACAGACCAACCAACAAGATGAATAGAAATAGCGGTAGCCCGAAATGGACAAGAAGATCCTCAGGCATATGCATGGCTCGCTCGCCTAGCCTACGACCGAGTCTAGGGACGGTGAGCTTCCCACACTCCTCCTCTAAAAAATTATGACATAGCTGGGTAGGAGAGTCAATGACGGGTAAGAGCGTACTCCCCCGGTGCGACTCAACCTAAGCCAGGCCCTACCCCATCCTGCACGTAAGCCGCTGGACTGTTAGATGCTGCCCAGGTCTAAATTTCTCTCCGAGGGGATTTCTTTACGGAGAGGAAATGAGTGCAAGCTTGTGTGCATCCAGGTTCCGTCCAGTTTGTGCCTGGCCCTAGAAAAAGGACGAGGGCCTCAGGGCCTTGGCAGACCATGGGACGGCCGACCAGGGTCTAAGCCAAGGACCTACGGTGGGCCTACACATAGGGCATAAGCCTCTGCACCCAGTCCAGGAAGGGCTACGATGCGCACATTCATAAAAAATAAAAAAGGGGGAGATGTTGGGAGCCGCAGCCCCGAGCCCGGTCGCCTCACTTGGCGGACGTGAGGCCTGTAGTAAAGAGTAAAGCCTGAGGTAGATTACCCCTCCCATCGAGCACGTTAGTTTCCTGCTTACCGCGTAAGCAACCCGCTCAACAATATAGTCTGCCTGGCAACTGATGATGTTAGCCAATCAGCTTGCCTTGCTTACTTTAACATGATTGGACACTGTATCCGTATATATACTGGTGCCACCCCTGGGGGGGAAGGAGAAGCCCGGAAGTAGAAGCCCAAAAGGAGCCGCGGGGAGCGGACCAAAGGAGGCTTCGGCTGGGAGCGATCCCAGGGCAGGCTGTACGGAGAAGGAAAATAAAAGAAAAGGTTGTCCACTGCCAGACTTTGTCGTGTGTCCTTCCTGCCGGCCGGGAGCGACATCGACAAACCCTGAGAGATGTTTGTGAGATAAAGCCTCAGGATTCTTACTTCCTGGCTATTAAATATTTCATGGAATTCTTATCAGGCTTTATCAAAATGATATAGCACTTAGGGGCAAAGATGCAGCCCAGCAAACCTGCACCCGAGGCCAAGATAGAGAAAACCTCCATGGCCACCATCACCTTCCCCTTGCTGCTGTGGTACACAGGGAGGAAGGTGACCCACACACTGCAGAACACCAGCATGCTGAATGTCAGGAACTTGGCTTCATTGAAGGTGTCAGGCAGATTCCTGGCCAGGAAAGCCACAGTGAAGCTGAGCAGGGCCAAGGAGCCCAAGTATCCCAGGACACAGTAGAAGGCAGTGAGGGAGCCCTTGTTGCACATGATGATGATGTGGCCATGCTCAGAGTGTGCATCTGTGTCCACAAATGGTGGATTTGTCCCCATCCAGCCTGCACAGAGAGTGAGTTGGATCAGGGTGCAGATGGGGATGATGTAGTTTGGTGCCCCTGATACCAGGAGTTGCCTCATCCTTCTGCCTGGAGCAGTGACCTTAAAGGCCAGCACCACAGTAATGGTTTTGGCCAAGACAGTGGAGACAGCCACAGTGAAGAAAACTGCAAATGTGGTCTGCTGGAGGATGCAGCTGGCAGTGCAGGGATGTCCAATGAAGAGCAAGGAGCACAGAAAACAGAAGGTGAGGGAGATGAGCAGGGTGTAGCTGAGACCCCTATTGTTGGCTTTGACCATGGGAGTATCTCCATGCTTTACAAAGAGCCCAAGAACAAGAATGGTGATGACAGAGAAACATAGAGCTGTGCAAGCCAGGGACATCCCCAGAGGATCCTGAAGAGACAGGAACGTTATGACCTTCGGGAGGCAGTGATTCCTCTCACTGTTTGCATATTCCTTGGGTGGGCACTGGATACAGTGCTGTGCATCTGGGGAAAGAAAGTCAGCATTTCAGTTTTGTAGATTCCTGCTTCAAACCACGTGGATGTCCTTGGTCACCTCTGCACTTTTTGGGAGCACAGACCACCTCTGGAGACACACTGTGACACAGGACAGTCAGAACCTACATCCCCACCAAGGAGGATGCTTGGCAGCAGATGAAAGCCAACCCATTTAGGTGGGATCAGCAGTGCAAAGGCACACTGGGAAGCTGTCCCCTTCCGAGTTTCACTGTGTCACAAAGGACATGAATTCTTCCACACCCTAGCCTTTCCCAAAGTCTTCTATACAATAAAACTTCTATGGACACTTGCACTATGTACCTAAGGCAATCAAGGAAATATTTCTTTGATTTATGCCTGAAAAGAAATAAGATACTTAAACATCCTGGGACAACTCAGGTTTTATTGTTGCCCTAACTCCTACTACTTTTTGTTTTGTAATTCACTTGGGATTCAGCAGCATAAATCTTCCTGTATGGTGCGCTTTTATTTGTTTCTGACCAGTCTTGTTTTTTGTATGTTTTTGTATGAGTTTTGAAAATAGTTTGACTGCAGGCAACTTTTGGGGTTTTGAATGGCATTGAATTGTTGGTTTACAATTAACTTTTTGATAAATAGATACTTCAATATGTTTATTCAATTATTTATATTAGATTGTACTTTTAAAATTTACTATTCATTTGCACTCAAAAGTACCTGTGCTCCCTTCGGCAGGTTGCATGTAGAAATATCATGCCCTTTTCTTCCGCTGTGGTCCCTGCTGAAGCTCATATCTGCTCGTGTGTGATGAGTGCAGTCAGGCAGCCTGGGATTATCTATTAGAAATCTGTGCCACAGTAAAACCGTATTTGTGGAAAGAGTCAAAGCTGGCCTGCTCCTGCAAGTAAGGAACTGTTTCCCTCTACTCAAGCACTCAGGTTGAAGCACAGCAGTTGGAGGCAGAGTGATCCTCTGCCCCCTTCTTTCCTGGGAGGCTGACTCCTCTTCCTGGCTCCTTCTACCCAGAGGCATGCTCATCAAACAGCGGCGTCTCTGTGTAGGGTTATGGGCCTCAAATCCTGTGTTAGTCCACTTCCTTTTCCTCTTTTACACACTCATTTGGTCTTTGAAGCTTTCCTAATAAGAAGTTTATTATTTTTTAACCTAGACATGCCTGAAGATAAATGTCTGCCCCACGATCACAATATAATATGAATTACATGGTACTAATGGGAATTAAATTATTATAATACTCATTTTTATATTATGAAGAATAGAAGGTTTATTCATTATACTTCCACATTTTGGTTTGAAAACAATTTATTCTGGTTTTATATATAATTGCTTAACTGTGCATGTGCGGTTAAAGACATTCTTAGGGGAAAGATTCATGTTTTATAAAAATATTATGTCTAATATAATAACGTGTTCCATTCCATATAACATTGTGCTAAAAACTTCAGGGTATTATATTGCTATTGTGTACTTAATGATTCAGAAATTGGGTACCAACTGTTAGAGATATGTCCATGACATTTCTTGTGCATTTGCACTGGGATCATCATCTGCATATGGAAAATCTTTGCTTCCGAATTTTCAAGGTGTTCATCTTAGGTCTGATGATGACACACCCTGCACTGTTTGGATGATCACACATCTGATATTTCATCCATGGATGTGAACATGGCTGTGTAGGAGACCTGAGATTTGATCACCACTGGATATTAAGAATGAAAGGTGACTTTCAAATCAGTGTCACACAATTGATTGCAGGTGTTTTGTGCTCTGGGTGAATGGTTTGGGGATGACAGTACACAGTGTATGTACCGTTGCTGTCACCTGATAGATGTGCTTTGAAATTCTGTATTCTTTTTTGTAAATTCTCTTTGAAATAAAATGGATTTGAAAAAATGAATAATAAACTCAGTGTCACAGTTGATCCTGATAAAATGAGCACTGCGAACAAAGACCTGAAACATAAAATGATAGTGCTGGTGTTTGTAGGTTTCTCTGGAAAGCCTGGAATGCATAAATGCAGGGTGACGGTGCACTGTGAGCCCGCAGCCCACACTGGGTTTCTTTGTCTTCAGAAGCCCAAATGAGAAAGACTTAGCAAACAGCACTTCTGCATTTCCTACCTGTCCTGTTGGAAATGTGTCTCTCCGGGCACAAAACACAGTGAAAACAGCAGAGAGGTCTTCCTTCCTGGGGAATTTGCCTGAACCCTGGAGCACAGCTCTGGCTACATACGGACCGAGGAGTCTAGAGGAAAATGAAATCATTGGTCAGAATTTTACACTTTCTTAACAGCTCTAAACAGAGGTCATCCTCTCCCTACAAGAATTTCACCTTGGACAGTTCTATATCACCATGCATGCACATAACCCTCACCTCACTGATACTTCCTGCTATCTCATTTTCAATTACCATGTGTCATGTCACTTTTCTTTCTCACCTAATTACCAACGGTTACCACAGGCCTGATCACTTTCATTTTATTCATAGCAACATCCCCTGAGGTCTCCGTGTTTTGATTCATTGTAGTCAACCGAGAGCTTTTCATGGTCATGTTCCATGTTGCTTTGTGCACTCGCATGCCTGAGAAAGTTTTTGTCATGCAATGGCACTCTCTTGGGGATTTGATTTAAAAATACGCAGTGACTCCCAAGTGTTAGTTATTTTAAGGGCTTTGTTCCCAAAGTGGCTCTATTGAGAGTGCTGAGATCTTTATAAGATGGGGCCTCAAGAGTGGTCACCAAGGCATTTTGAAGTGCATTTTTGGACTCTAGTGTGTCTTGTTCTCCATCCACCACCCTCTCTTCACCTATTCCTCTCTCTGTGTCTCATACACATACATGGATACAAACAGAGAAACTATGAGACCACACATGGCTGTTCATTCATCTATGCCATTCTGAGGCCAGCTGTGACACTATGAATACAGAGCATAATTGTAATATAGTTCAGCTGCAAAACTGTGAGAAATCTGACGAAAGATGACATGCACTCATTGTTGGTGTTTTACCATGGCAAGAAGAACAAAGGTTGAAAACTAAATGGTATCCAAAAGGACTGAGAAATGAGAAAAATATTTCTTAAGATGTCTCATTACTCCAGAATCTGCTGTGTCATTCTCCTTCAAAATGCACTGTGAATCCTGACTATATATTATTAAGCAATTGAGCAAATATGGACAGACACATATGAAAACTGTACATCGCAATTCTCTCTTGCTTTTTACAAACTTGTTCAAATTTATTCTTGCAGCATGAACACATTCACCAAAGATTTTTTTGAATGCTCACTATACTCTTGCTCTATGAAGGTGTTAGATCAAAATATATAACAACAACTTTACACAGTACAAACTCAATGAGTGGAAGGTGAATTTAGTGCTGAGTGAAAGGCCCCACACTGAGTCGCATCTCAGGACTATATTTGGCTTTCCCTGCATGAGTCCAGTATTGAAAAGAATCATACCTCCATGAATCCAATAGGCCACTCTACCATCTCTGCATTGATGACTAAGGCTTGGTTGTGAGGACTCTTGGAGACAAACTCTCCTACTTTAATCAGCATCCTAAGACCAGCAGGGAAGTTCACACTGTTCTGGATGTCATACCATGCCATAGGGTGTCTTTTCTCATCGAAGGATATCTGATGTCCACCACTGTTTATGAACTGGATTTTCTTCAGCAATGGATGAAGCTAGAGAGAGGAATAAGTCAGAGATGAATCCATTTATGTTAAAAGTGGAGGGTCCAAAGGACCTTCCAAACATGACCCTTTCTATCTCCTTATGCTGAGGTTTCATTGCAATAGAGACCAGTTCTTTGGAGGGTAGGAGTTGAAGTTAGTCACCATTTAAGGATTTGTAGTGAATAGAACTAGTCTCTTCTCCAGAAAAAAGTGGTGTGCTTGACACAAAATAAAAACATACATGACGGCTGGGGCTAAACGCTCTGCAGCAGAAGTATCTGCTTAGCAAACACAAGGTCAGGAGTTTGATACCTGGCACCAAAAAAAAAAAAAAAAAACCACTCCAATATAAGAAATGTTATCACAGGGCTGTGATGGAATAGACTGTTTCTGTGCTGACCAATAAAGTAAGTTTATGGATTATTGGAAGTTAATCATACTTTTCAAACAGTGTAATGTGAGTGGAATATCAAATATGTTCACCTTGGCTGTGATAGCCCAGAGTTAACCTAGGTTTGAACTCATTCCAACATACATTACATGCAGTATCTTACTTTATGATTTATACCTTGCAATTTTAGAAAGACATAACATGTAGGGATTTTTTTGATGAGAATATCAATAGTTTGTGACATTCAGAGAATAATTTATACCCAGATATATAAATTAATTCTCATGTCCTGAATCTAGTGAGAATCTGAGTGAGGGTTTTTCTCTTTTGGTTTACTGAAGGAAGATTTTTTTTCATTGTTTTCTTAGTAGTGCTACATAATTAGCCAAAAATAGGTTTTTGACTCAGTTTCTCATTAAATAGTTCAGAATAGCCACTTCTATCCCCAGTAATCTTAACAAACAGATAACAATTACGAATTACCAATGTCAAGATCTCTTGTTCATTTCTGCCTGATTCTTCCGATTTTAAGATGAAAACGTAATCATGATGTTGCACCTCAATAAAATAATTGTGGAGACCAACATGGGCTCAAAACATGCCTCTAGTCTGGAGATTTACCTGCCAAGGAAGAATCTCAGGCTGGTTCTCATCTTCTGGAGATCTCATTTCCATTTTCTCCAAGATCACTGTATGCAGCACACGGGCCAACACATGCACAGCATTATAGATGAAATAGCTTGAGTCCGATATGGTCATTATGTCCAAGTTTCCAGGCAGAGTCTCTAAGGAAATATTTGGTAGGCAGACTCCTATCTTCCCACACAAGGACCCAGGAAGTGAGCAGTCATAAAAGAAAGTCCACAATATACTGTAGTAAAAATCTTGTGGGTATTGAGAAGGGTTGGATGTCTTCAGAAAGTGCTTGAAGCCAGGAATTTCCCTCTTATGAGGTGACAATGAGAAGCTTCCATGGAAAGAGTGCAGCATGTGGTCCGTCTCATACACAACCATGTCCCACTTTGCAGTCATGATCCACACCTTTCCTGTGGTCAAAAAGAATTCAGCTGCGATGTCCACAGTGATGAGGCTCCTGACCTCCCCATACAGGATGTGCACATTGGCAGATGAAACTCTGATCCTAGTCATAAAAGTGGTGTGACTTGATCCAAACATTGTGGTAATGGCAGGGAGCTTTTCTGTCAAGGCCACACAGATACCTTTCTTTAGCATCTCTGCTTCCAGGTCCCTCATGAACTGCTCCCCTTTCACATCATCAGATATAAAGACGGCCACCCACGTCCAGCCAAAATGCAGCAATAATGCGATCATTGCATGGAACAGAGTGCTGTCCCCGGGGGCCATCTGGTAGAGAGATGGATACTGGTGTTTGTCCCTGAGGCTGGGGTCAAAAGGACCATATGTGATCTAAGGAAAGAAAGAAAACTGAGGTTGAGTTTAGGAGTTTTGATGTTGATTTTGCTGGGAAGGTAGCAAGACACTTCTGTGTATCCAAAGGCTACTGAATACAATGTCAGAAGACTGGAAGGCTACTATGGAGATTGTCGAGTTCTCTCATCTGGGCACACAGAACCTCAAGAGCACACATCCTGACACCATTGTCTCTAGGACAAGACAAGTTACTCCCTGAACAAAGCCAGAAAGTGTGGAAAAGACTTACTGAGCCTTACTCTTGAGTTTATCACCTGAAGTGGGAATGGATAAAGGTGGGAAATGAAAAAACATTACCAAGGTGAGGATGTTTGTTTCACACTAATGTCAAGCAGATCAGTGCTAACCCTCACTAAGCACAGTTTTCAATAAGCACAGTAACCAAGTAAATCTTTATAGTATGGCTTTCTTGGTTTTGCACTCAATTTCAGCAATCTGAAGATTTTTAAACAAGCAATCAATTACCCTGTCTTGTTTTCCAACAATTATTCTTATAGAACAGAATACTCCTAAACTGCTTTTGTCTGGGGGACAATAATGACTCCTCATTGGTACCTGACTTAAATGAGTTACAAAGGAAGAAACTTGGATGTAGAGTTCTCAACAGAAAGTCCTTAAGGGCAGCTAGGAGGTGGTCCTCTTGGGTGCAGGTGAGCAAAGCAATTCTGAGCACAGGCAGTGGATTAACCACAATGCAGTTGGGGATCTATGGAACTGTGCCAGTCCCACAATCTGTGGAAGTGTTGTAGCCCTCTGTGATGCCCAAAATAGAACAGACATGCCAGGGGCTGGGGATTTAGCTCAGTGGCATAAGTGCCTGCCTTGCAAGCAGGCAGTCCTGAGTTTGATCCCTGGTACCGATAAAAACGAAAAAGACAAAAAAAAAAAAAAAAAAAAAAAAAAAAGAACAGACATGCCATGGTGGTACCGCCTCCACATCTGACAATCTTTGGCCTCTGGATACCAGTGTGACTCATATGCTGGTATGGGCAGTTTCCTATGCTGTGGAAAAAACAGCCAGGGCCTGTTGCCAGGCAAGATTGCCTGTGTCCAACATATCTATTCTGAGACAAAATCTTGTTTGAGCCTCTCGATAACAACTGCTCCTTGTCTGTCACCCTTCTCCTTCCCCTGATGATAATTTTAGAGCCCAGATAATTCATAGGGATTTCATTTTACCTACTTATTTTTCTGTGTGACTAGGTATCTTAAACCTGTTTTTATTTTAAAGAGGATAAAACCAAACAAAATACAACAAAACAGAGACAGTCAATACAAAACAGTGAAAGCAATACAGGACCTCATTAAAAAGACAGCAGGAAATCAACAATGGCTATCATAATACACCTTGGAATCTTCATAATAGCAGCCTATATATCATACATAATAAAGTCAAACAAAACAAAACAATGAAAACAATACAAGACCTCAAAACAATATAATAGTGAATTAACAATGACTACCATAGTGCCTCTTGTTACCTTGAAAACAGCTGTCCAGCACATTAGACACAGGCATATAAAATTTACCAAACAATATAAGAACTAACTTGCTTCTTCATTTCAGTTGTTATCTCTACTAAATTTCAGGTGTGTGACTTTAATATCTACAATGTCCATGTCTCCTGAACTTGTCCTGTGTGGGCTGGAGGTCTGATACTGTATTTTGCTCCTTCATCTTGACATTTTCCTATGTCCTTGCAAAGTGGCCCATTGTCGCAGCCCAGGTGTTTCCTGCAGCGACTGCCAGTCCCTCAGTAGGAGTCTGGACTGGACTAGGCACCCAGGTTAATATGATCTGAGTTTCCTGGAGTGGCGGAGAAACATGCAGTGGTGGTTGACCAATGCTCCCCTGATGGCAATGGAGATTTGGGGTGTGGCCTCTTCTCTAGGCCCATACTGGTGTTATGGCTCTCTCAGGACCACTGATGGTTGGCCTTGGAGTGTGCTTTCTTCTCTGGGCCTTCACTGGGCTCACCAGATCTCTCCAGGGCCACTGGTACATAACCTGGGAATGTAGCTTGTATCTATTAATATTTGTTCACAGGCTTGGATCATTTCTGATATTTCTGTGCTGATTTTATGTCCAGTTGCTCGGTCTACTAAACAATCAGTATTGATTGGAGTCTCCTATTACAATTGTGTTATTCCTCATTTCATTTTCCATGTCTGCAAATACCTGTCATATATAGTTGGGTGCTGTTGTATTAGATGCACCTATATTTATGATTATCATGGAATTTGCACTGTATCCCACATTTTCATTGACCCCAATTTATTTTGTGTTACACTTCTTTGCTTCATCTTTTATCTGTTGTGTTGATTTCTCATGGTCTCTTGCTATTTTTAAGATATCTTTCTTCTCATGAATATGAGCTGCTTCTCATGAACAAATCTGAAATTCTATCCTTTCCTTCATTCAATCTGTTGCATATATTTTCAAGGGAGGTTTTAATTTCCTCAATCTGTTTAGATCTGTTTCATGGGTTCCATTTCTATCCTATGTTTGGCACCTTTGTTTCCATCTTTTTGTAAGCTCATCTATTCTTTTGTGTCTTCAGTATTGTATTTGATTAAAGTGCCACTTCCTTTTTGTACCTGAGACATCATTTTCTCTATAGCCTTCTCCATTTGTTTTTTCACTTCCATTGTCATCATTTCAGAAAGTTCCAGTGTTTGACTTCTGGCTTCATCCATCTCACTGAGTGCCAGACCTGTCCTGGGTGGCCTGGGGACCTGGCCACACCTCATCTCTGAAGCTGGACATTCTCTGCATTCTCTTTTTAATTTTGCCTCCTATTTTGATGCCCACCAACATCCCATGATATATAACTCTAGCATTTTGGTCCATCTCAAGAAAGAAAGGAGATGTCTGTTCCTCAGAAGTGTCCTCCAGAGGTAACTGGGTCTTTCCAGCTATCCCAAGAACCTACCTTCTTCTGGTGATTACAGTTCTGTGATAATGTCCATGTTGTATTTTGGAGATGTGCTGGGTGTGAAGCCCACCTTGGCCACTGGATATAGGAACTGGGACTGGTCTTCTGTTGGTGGAGTTCTCCAGAGTTTGAGTGCTGTCTCCGCACTGCTGCTTCAGATACTTCCATGTTCCTGGACTTGTGATTACTTCGTCCTCCAGAGGTGTGTATGCATTTGTGTGCCAGGCTGTTGTCCTGAGTCTTGGGCTTCCTGTTGAATTTACACTCCTTTGGTTGGCCCTGCCACCTGGGGATATAATGAAGGAGGCTCAGGGCATAAACTCATTTACAGCCAGCCTCACACTCTGTGATTCAGTGGATGGACAGAATGTGAACTCACTATCTGTCAACCTGTCTGCCCTCCAGGATGCAGTGAAGGAGGCCCAAATCACAAACTCACTGTTTTCTAGCTGTCCCTGCCATTGGAGATATAATAGAATGATGTAGAGTGTAAATTCACTACCTTCCAGACCCCCTCCCTCTGGGATGCAATGAAGGTGTTCTGGGTCATGAAATAACTATCTTCCAGCTGATCCTGCCATCATGGGATCTGTTTTAAACACTCATGACATGGCTTTTCAACTCTTATTTCCTGTCGGTCAGACGTGAGTAAATGGAATTGCAAGAGATCCAAACAGTCACAACCACAATGCATGATGCCCTCACCTGTGGGATTCTGTAGAGCTCCAGAAGTGTTCCAATCTGAGCAGAAAATGGTGATGCAGTGCCTGCAATTACAGCCACAGACTTCTTTGGAATCTTGCAACTATAGTTAGGGAGAATCTCATCTCCTCCAGAAAACCACATTAGTGCATTCTCCAAGGTCCTGTGGTCACTATTAACAGAATTGTAGAGCTGGAAACCCAAGGACTGGTTGGGAAGCAGGTGAGGATCTTTATTGATCTCCTCAATAGCATAGTAAAAGGCCAACACATACTGGTAGTTCTTCCACAACCACCTACAGAGAAATACAATCAAGTGACATCATTCAGAGCCAAATCATTTGACAAATCCTGTTAAGAAGATTGGCTAGTATTGTGTGTCTCTGCAAGGCTTCTTTATTGAAATGTGAATCTGGTGTGTGCAAGGTTCTCAGGACTCTACTGATGCCAACTCTGGAATACATCTTCTCAATTACTTTTCATTTCTCAAAAGATGTTCCGTGTACTAGTAGGAAGAATATGTATTCTGATGTTGTGGGGTGGGACATTGTGTAGACATCTATCACGTCCATTTGTTCACAAATGTGGTCCAGTTTTCATATTTTTTTACTTTTTGTTTAGTTTATCTTTCTGTTTCTTACAGTAGAATATTGAGTCTCCCTATTACAATTATGCTGGTGATTATGCTTTTTATGCTATTATTTGTTTGATGCTATTATTTGATTGATTTTTATGCTATTATTTGTTTTATGTAGTTGTGTGAACTGGTATTTAATGCATTTATATTTGTGACTATAATTTCTTCCTCTTGTATTGTGTACTTAAATAGTATGTAGTGACTTTCTTTGTCTGTTTTGATCAGGCTTGGTATGAAGTCCAGTTTCTCTACAAATCAAATAACTATCACTGATTTTTTTCTGGGTTCCTGTTGCATGGAATATTGTTTATTTTATTTTATTTTATTTAAACAAACAATAAATAAAACAGAAAAAGAGTAGAAATAATACATAAGGCAAAGAAAAATAAACAGTAAGAAATCACTAGTTGATAATTACATATGGTCCTCAACACCCAGCAAACAGTAAGAAATCACTAGTTGATAATTATATATGGTCCTCAACACCCAGTTCCCACCCTCTGGAACTGGGAAGCAGGAAATTCAGCTGGTAGCTGGGGTGAGTCAGCTCCCTATCCAGAGCCCAGGAGACTGTGTTAAGATCATCGATCCAGGAGCTCAAGGACCCACTGAGAGCACAGCCACATTAGGCTGTGCTTGCCTGGCAGGTTTCAGGCCTGCCCAGGTCATGCCCAGTGACCTTCCCTGGGACCAGGAAGCAGGAAATTCAGCTGGCAGCTGGGGTGAGTCAGCTCCCTATCCAGAACCCGGGAGACTGTGTTAAGATCATTGCTCCCAGAGGTAAAGGGCCCACCCACAGCACAGCCACACTAGGCTGCGCTCACCTGGCAGGTTTCAGGCCTACCCAGGACACACTCAGAGACCTCCTGAACCCAGAACCGGGAAACTCAGCTGGCAGCTGGGTTGAGTCTGTGTGCCATTTCGAGTTGGGGACATTGGGTTAGGATCATTGCTGCCAGAGCTCAAGGAGCCAACCAGAGCCAAGCCATTCTAGACTCACCTTGGGAGGTTTTACAGCCTGAGTAGATTACCCCCACAACCTTCTTCAATTATGAGAGTGGAGAGCAGGTGAAGTGAGTTTCAGGGCATTGGTCTTTGCCTGGGGAGAGCTTTAACCCATCATCCACAGTGGGTAGGTGCCTGCCCAGCTACCTGGAACACTGAAGGTAGACAGGAGGGCCTGAGTGCAAGACTGGACCATGCTCAACAACCTCCATTCAGTCCCAGGAGCCTAGAGCATAGGAAATGATTTCCACCACATCCAGGGGAAGCTTTAGAAAAACACTTGAAACACAAATATAGGAAAATGACAAAACAAAGACCAAAATGCAATCTCAGACCTCAAGCCCATCCCAAGAAACCCTAGTAGCCATGTACATAGAAGAAAATATATGCCATACACCTGAAATACCTGTAATAATAGCAAGTGAAATAAAGAAGCAACTCCAGGAAGCTTTAAAGGAATTCACACTAGAAATAATGTCCCAGGTAGAAGAAGAAATGATAAAAGTAATGAAACAAATGCTGAACACATCTAAAGAAGACACCGTTAAAAATTAGAGGAACAAAAAGAATTCATGGATGAAAAATTTAAGAAACAAAAAGAATGCATGAGGCAGATTCAAAGATATACAGGAAATCAAAAATTCCATTGAAAGTTATCAAAACTGACTTAATAAAAGTGAAGATAGAATTTCAGACCTTGAAGACTGCAGTGAGGGAATAGGAAAGGAACGATCTTTTTTAAAAAAACAAGGAATCAGGAAATAACAATTCAACAGCTTAAGAAGATGCAAAGAAAAAAGCATAAGATTAATGTGGATAAATGAAAAAGAAGGGAACAGCACAAATGATATCAAAAGGCTATTCACAGAAGTCATAGCTGAAAATTTCCCAAATATGAGAATGGAAACTGACATTAGCATTAGTGAAGCATATAGAACTCCAAATAGCCATAACCAAAATAAAGCTACACCCAGGCATATAATAATCACCATCCCAGAAATCCGACATAAGAGTAGAATACTAAAAGCTGCCAAAGAGAAAAGACAGATTATCTATAAAGGAATGCCTATCAGAATCACAGCAGACTTCTCAACATAAACAAGGAAGTCAAGAAGAGTAAGGAGTGAAGTATTTCAGATCCTAAAGGAAAATGATTTCAAACGTAGACTGATGTATCCTGCAAAACTGTCCTTAAAAATAGATGGAGAAACAAGATACTTCCATGACAAAGAACAGCTGAAGAAATTCATGATCACCAAGCCAACCCTGCAAAGAATACTGAAAGACAGTTTAGGTACACTTAGGAGAAAACCAATAAGCAAAGAAGACATTAAAAAGAGCAGAAAGATAAAGATGCAATAGCAGAATGATAACATGTCAACAATAACCCAACATACAAGAGTTATAAACATTAATGTAAATGGATTCAATGTACTACTTAAAAGAAACAGAATGGCAGAATGGATCAAGAAACAAAATCCAACCATATGTTGTCTACAAGAAACTCATCTAACACAAAAGAATACTCACAGACTGAAAGTCAAAGGGTGCAAAACAATGCATCATGCAACAGGAACCCAAAATAAGCAGGACTAGCTAATTTGTTTGCAGACGTGAACTTCAAACCAATAACGATCAGAAGAGATAAAGAAGGTCATTACATACTAGTTAGGAGAAAACTTCAAGAGGAAGAGATAACTATCTTAAATATATATGCACCAAAATTCAGAGCACCCAGTTATATAAAACAAGTATTAACATCAATGAAAAACCACAATAGTTGTAACACAATTATAACAGGAAACCTTAACACAAAATTGACACCAAGGTACAGATCAACCAAGAAGAACATCAGAAAAGAAATAACAGAACTGACTCACACCTGTGAACAAATGGACTTGATACATACATACAGAGCATTCCACCCAGCAACATCAGAATACACATTCTTCTCAGTAGTACATGGGTCATTCTCTAAAATAGTCCATATATTAGCTCACAGAGCATATTTAAATAAATGCAAAAGGGTTGATATTATCCCTTGTATGCTATCAGATCATAGTGCTATGAAACTAGAAATTAATGATACAAGATAATGCAAAAAACCCACAAACACATAGAAACTTAATAACACACTCGAGTAATCAGTGAGTCACAGGGAAAATTAAAGAGAAATTGAAAATACCTACAAGCACAAGAAAATACAAACACAACTTATCGGAATCTGTGGGATGCAATGAAAGCTGTCCTCAGAGGAAAATTTATTGCATTGAGTTTCCATATCAGGAAAACAGAATGAATACAAATAAACAACCTGATGTTACACCTCAAACATCTAGAAAAAGAAGAGCAAGTCAAGCCCAAAGCCAAGAGAAGAGAGGAAACTATAAAAATCAGAGCAGAAATCAGTACAATACAGACTAAAAAAACAATCCACAGAATCAATGAATCAAAGAGTTGGTTCTTTGAAAGAATAAATAAAATTGATATGCACCTAGCCAACCTTATTTTAAAAAAGGGAAGAAAAGGCTCAAATTCATGAAATAAGGAATGAAAAATATGAAATTAATACAGACTCTGTAGAAATACAGAAGATCATCAACACCTATTTCAAAAACCTCTATTTTCATAGGTTTTATAACACAGAAGATATAGAAAGATTCCTAGAAACATATGAAGTACCAATGCTAGGTCAAGAAGATGTAAAACTGCTGAATAACCCAATTTATATTAACAAAATTGAAAGTGTAATTAAGTCTTTATCTGCATAGAAGAGCCCAAGCCCAGATGGCTTTATTGCAGAATTCTACAAGAAACACAAAGACTTAAAGCCAATAATCCTCAAACTCATCAATCCTTCCTAAGGAAAGGAAAGCAATCCTTCCTAAGTCATTCCTGGAAGCAAATATCACTCTAGTGTGAAAATCAGAGAAAGACCCAACCAAAAAAGAGAACTACAGACCATTCTCCCTAATGAACACAGATGCAAAAATCCTCAATAAAATATTGGCAAATATAATGCAGCAAATCACAGGAAGATTTTACACCATGGCCAAGTGGGATTCATTCCAGGTATGCAGGGATGATTCAATATATGTAAATCAATTCTATTATACCTGATGATATAGGCAACTCTTTTGAAGATAGCAAGAGACATAATGGTAACCATTGTTGATCACCTGGTATTCTGTTTTTACATCATGTAACTATGTCCATCCTTCTGTTCTAACTGACTCTGTTTTGCTTTGTCACATTTGGTTTTACTCTCTTCAAATAAAAGTAATAAGAGCTGTGGGAGTAAAACCCCAAATGTGTAATTGTTATTGTAAAAAGAGAGGAAAGGAAAGTGATCTAAAGGATATAATTGCATGCATATTTAAGTGTGTAATACAGAAAACCATATAACTAAGTTTGTGTTGGATCATTGAACAGAACTGTTTGCAATCTTACTGCAAAAAATGTCCACTTTATATGCTTTAATTTTGTAATTTGAACAACTATTTCTTAGATGACAATATGTAACCTATTAACTAGTGATTACTATCTGTATATTTTTTCTTGAAATTCTGTATTATGTGTACCCCTTTACCGTTTGTTTGTTTTTTTTTCTCTTTAAATTAAAAAAGATTCAAAAAATCTAAGGAGACACAACAG